AGGTGCAGTTCAAATGTCAACTCACCAGAAAGCATTTGTGCCCTACCCTGGGTGTGGATAGTCACTTCCCGCTCTGGGTCACCACCACCCTTAGCATATATGCCCTGTGGGCTCAGGACAGATGGTGATGATGATCTATATGTGTGTGCTTCTCCCTTCCTGAAGGTCCCTCGTGGAGGAGCTGGGGCTGCTTCTGCCTCACCTCTCTCCTCCTTGCCCACACCAGGACTCCACAGGTGCCCAGGGAATGCGTGTTGAGTTGAATGGGTCACGTGATGGCACTTACCCCACAGAATGTAGGCTATTTGCCAGCCAGAGTACCTTGCAATGGCCACCTGAGATTTAAAAAAAAAAGGGGGGTCTCTCTCAGAGGGGAGAAAACCTTGATTGCCTGTGACACACGTGTCCAGTATCCCTGTCTCATTTGAGGTTCACCCACCAACCCACTGAGGCATGTGATGTGATCATCCTCATTTTACAGATGAGGAAATGGAGGGCGGGATGGCGTAGTGACTTGTTCCGAGTCACTCAGCAGCAGAGCATACTAGAATGGAGGACACTGGACTCCCAGTCCGGGGCTCTTCCTCCCCCAGCTCCTGCCCCTGTCCGAGATGCAGGAGAGCAGGTTTTGGCAAATCACTTAGTGTCGCAGCAGAGAAAGACCTCTGCAGGCTTACCACACTCTCCGACGAGGAAGGATTGTGGAACTTCAAAGGGAGAAAGTGTTTATCTCCTGCCCACAACCTCTTCATGTGCTTTCTAGAGAAAAAGTGGGAAATTAGTAATGTCCATAATTATGGCACTTTCTGCACTTAGAGCTCAATAGATAATGGTTAATAAACCAAAAGGCCTTTGGAGGGAGATGGTGGGCAGCTCAGGCCCCCTGAATTGACCACAGCTCGCGGGACGGTTCTGATCAGCCTTAAAACTCTTAAATTTAATATATTTTGTAAAAATAATATAGTTTCCTGTCTTAATGGAGACTGATTGTCACTGTTGAGGCTGTGTCTTTTATCTTCTTCATTTTGCTCTATTTTCTGATTTTTTCTGTGATGAATATGTATTACTTATGTAACAATATTTTAAAACAGATAAAGACAGAAAACCATTTTTAATGATAGCCCCACCTTATAACAACATAAAGGGAAATGAAAAGGGACCACCACCCCTCACAATCCCACACCCCAGGAAATCCCATGTGCTAGTCTGGCCCTTTGCATAAAGATTAGGTTGGCATACTTATGATTATAGTCCACATTCACCTCTGTGTCCTCCTTTTTTCTTAACATCTTATCTCCAGCATTTTCCAGGTTGTTTTGAAATCTCATGACCACTTAATTGGGAAGACTTAGTATGAAATACGGGATGTATATTTATTACATGTTGAAATGATGATATCTGGGTTATGTTGGGTTAAATAAAATATATTATTAAATTGTTTTCACCCCCCCCTTTTGCCTTTTTAATAGTGTCTACTAGAAAATTCAGAATTGCATCTGTGGCTTTCATTGTGTTTCTGTTCAGCAGCACTGGAGTAGAGTGTGCTACCAGGAATACGAACACACATATAGATATATTTGCATAGAAAATGTCTGGAAGGATGCTCAGAGAATTAATACCAATATTTAGCTTTGGGGCAACAAAGTGGGGTCTGAATGGGAGGAAGACTTACTTTACACTATGTTTTTTGTAACATTTAAAAAAAAAAGGCCTGTGTGTAGGTTGGAATAATGCTAAGAAAAATAAAAATAGTGGCACACTGCTAGTGCTTCCCAGTTTGTAGGGTGCTTTCCCCTCCAATATCTCATTTACCCCATGGTCCTGTAAAGGGACAGGGCAGGGATCATCACTCCCAGGCAACAGCTGTGGGAGGGAGAGGCCAGCCTGGACAGGAATGAGGCCTCCGCACCACAGGTGCCCTCTCTTCCCTGTACCTCAGTTGCCTTCCACCCACGTCCACACAGCCAGTTCTGCAGGGTCGTTGTCCCTGGTTGTGGTCAAATGCCTCACTGAAAATCTCCCAGACACTTGCAGACTAATGAAAGAAGGAGCAGACATATCCCTACATCAGACAGGGTGGGGAGAGCAGCAGTGTGCAGTCCACCCACGGGGTCCAGGGAGAAGAAAGCAGAGAGGGAGCAAGCTAGGGTGGGGATGGAGAGCTGGGGCCTCTTTGTGCCAGGAGAGTCTTCTCTTGGATGCCATCTGCAAGAGACCCACCCTTTGGACAGCCAGATGGAGAACATGTAAAGGCAGGATGCTCCGGGGCAGTGGGGATTGGCCCTGTGCTTCCTGTGAGTGAGTGTGAGTAGAGACTGAGCCAGCAAGAGAGAGGGACAGAGACAAAGGCAGAGAGACAGAAAAGGGAGCAGTAGATACCTAAAATTCTACTGCTGTCTGCACGCAAATGCTGGTTACATGCTGAAGGCCGTCCCCTCCTCCTGCACTGCTGTTCTCGCACCTCCTGCACCTGGTCCCCTTGACCCAATCTCCTATGAGGTCCCCTTGAGCCAGATTCATCTGCTGGGAGCCCAGTGTGATTGGTTCTGGAGAGCAGGGCAGATGTGATAGCCAACAGAGATGCCAGAGTGTACAGGAAATGACAAAGTCTGTGGGGTCAGAAGACATGATCGGCTGCTAATGGCTTGGGTTACGTTGTTGAGTCTCAGCTTTCTGAGCTGTAAAAATGGAGATGAAAGTACCCCTCAGGGTTGTGGGACAATCAAAAGATTCTAGCACAATGTCTAGATGATAGCAGAAGCTCAAATCAATAGTTGTTGTTTGGTTTTTTTTCTTACTACTAGTAGATGTGGTTGTCCTGGACCTCTTGCATACACTCCTGGTTCTGCTGCGGCCACTGCTGGCACTGCTTGGGAATTCTTAGGAAAGTCTGTCAGATGCTTTCCTGGCTGAAGACACAAATGACTCGCAGAGCCCTCTCACCTGTAACAGGCCAAAATGTGAAACAGGTAGCTCACACACGTAAGGGAGGCAGGCAAAATGGTCACCACCCAGACTCCTGAAATAGAAAAAGTGATAGGAGAGGCTTCAGAAGATGAACCAGAAACAGTATTTTCAAAATGCAGAAACACATCAGAAAGGCCTGGGCAAAATATATTATACTTCCTTTAACACATTTCTTGTGTAAATAAAGTTTTGCTTATATTTCCGTTTCATTTTAGCCACGCACACCCTTGATATACTTTATTTCCTGCACAATCCTTCCTTTGGTATTAATATTTTCAATCTACAGTGAGTAACGGGAAGAGAAAATTATGGGGTATACACATCACAGGTCGCTTCCATCCTTGTAAAACGATTAATAGTTGAACTTCTAATTGCCACTTTTGGGGGGGATGGTAACCCACCCCCAGTTAAACATCAACCACGTACAAGGATAACTGGAATCAAGAGTTCTTGACTATTCATTCATCGTCTTTCAACAAGTTTTTAATATTTTGTATCTAATTTGCTTTTAGAGGGATTCTGTGTATTAGAGAGAGAGGGATGGAGAAACAGGGAAGGAAGATTTGTGGGTGTAAAAGCTTTCATACAAGCTGATTCTCAATATGTGCAGAGAAAGCATTTTAAAAAATCCAACACCTCTTATAATTAAAAACACTCCACAAACTAGAAATAGAAGGCAATTTCTTCAACCTGATAAAAGGCGTCTGCAAATAGCCCCACACCTAACATCATATTTCAGGGCAAAAGACTGACTATTGTCCCCCTAAGTTCAGGAATGAGAAAATCAATGTCTGCTCTCACCACTTCTATCCAGCATTGTACTGGAGGGTCTAGCCAGGGCGATTAGGCAAGAAAATGCATCCTGACTGCAAAGGACCAAATAAAGCTATCTCTATTCACCAATGACTATATACATATTTGTATATATATCTCTATATATCTGTATGGATATACAGAAAATCCTAGGGAATAAACCAAAAAAATTAAAATTAATTAATGAGTTCAGCAAGCTTGCAGGACAGAAGACCAATATATAAAAATCACCTATTTCTGTACACTAGCAATGAATGATCTGAAAATGAAGAAGACACTGCATTTGCAATAGTATTAAAAAGAATAAAATAGTTAATAAATTTCACAAAAGAAGTATGCAACTTGTACACTGAAAACTACAAAGATTGTTGAAGGAAATTAACAAAGACCTAAGTTAATGGAAAGACATCTCAGTTTCATGTATTGGATGTTCTTAACATGGCACTACTTCCTAAATTATCTACAGATTCAACCCAATCCCTATCACATTTCAATGCCATTTTTGCATAAATTGACGAGCTAATCCTAAAATTCATGTTAAAATGAAGGGACCCAGAATAGGCAACACAATCTTGAAAAAGAACAAAAATTGCAGGACTCACATTTCTTGATTTCAGTCTTACTACAAATTGACAGTAATGAAGACAGTGTGGTACTGCCATAAGGATAGACAAAAGGATCAATGGAATAAATTGTGAATCCAGAAGTAAACCCTCATTGTCAATGTATTTTCAACAAGGATGAGAAGACAATTCAATAGGAAAAGAATATGCTTTTCAACAAATGCTGCTGGGACAACTGATATTCACATGCAAAACACTGAAGTTAGACCCTTACCTCACACCATCTACAAAAATTAACTCAAAATGGATCGTAGGCTTAAATGTAAGACCTAAAATTATAAAAGTCTCAGAAGAAAATAGAGTAAATCTTTGTGATCTTGGGTTAGGAAATGGTTTCTTTGATATGCACAAGTGATAAAAGATATGTTGGACTTCATAAAAATTAGACACATTTGTGTTTCAAAAGACACCATCAAAAAAGTGAAAAAGCAACTCACAGAGTGGGAGAAAATATTTGCAAATTATATCTCTCGAAGGGATTTGTGTATTGAATGTATAAAGAACTCTTACAGCTCAATAATAAGTCAACAAATGACCCAATTTAAAAATGGGCAAAGAATTTCGATAGACGTTACTCAAGGAAGATGTACAAATGGCCAATAAGTACATGAGAAGATGCTCAACATCATTAGTCATCAGGGAAATGCAAATCAAAACCACAATGAGATACCACTTCACACTTACTAGATGGCTATAATAAAAAAGGCAGATACTAACAAGTATTGGTGAAAATATGGAGAAATTGGACTCCTCATACATCACTGGTGGAAATACACAGTGATGCAGCTGCTTTTGAAAACAGTCTGGCAATTCCCTGAAAGGTTAAACATAGTTACCTTATGATCCAGAATTCCATTCCTAGGTACATATATGAAAACATATGAAAAATTTGCAGATGAATGTTCATAGCAGTATTACTCATAAAAGCCAAAAAGTTGAAACCACCCAAATTTCCATCAACTGATGAATGGATAAATACAATGTGATATATTCATACAACAAGATAAAATTCAGCAATAAAAAAGAATGAAGTTCGGACACATGCTGTGACATAGATGAACGTTATGAAACATTTTGCTATGTGAAAGAAGCCAATCAGAAAAGGCCACATATTGTATGATTCCATTTATATAAAATGTCCAGAATAGGCAAATCCATAGAGCCAGAAAAAAGTGGTTATCTAGGGCTGGGAGAGTGGAGGAGAAATGGGGAGTGAGCAAATGGTCATGATTGCTTTTTAGGGTGATCAGAATGTTCTAAATTTGATTGTGGTGATGGTTGCCCAACCTTGAGAATGTGCTGAAAACCAGTGCATTGTATACTTTAAATGGGTGAATTGTATGGTATATGAATTATATCTGCATAAAGCTGTTTTAAAAAGAAGGAAAAAAGAAAGCTGACTGCCATTCCTTTCAAGTTTCAAATGTGTCTTTGTTCCGGCATCACCAGGATTAGACAATTGCTATATCCCAAACCTCAACCAACACAAAGAATGTGGGTAAAAGGCCATAAATCAACCTCCTGGGGATGCAGGGGAGCCGTCCTCACAAGGGAAGGATAGGAAGAGCCCAGATCGAGATAGAGTGAAAATTTTATGCTTTGATCCTCAAAGTGCTTAAACATGTGAGAAATATGTCAAAGAGGGAATAGAACATCAGTGAATATGGTGATATATTCACTACAATTCACCCAGACCAAGAAACTGAGGTTTGAGTTAAAGACTTGCCCTGAATGGGGATGGAAATGTGAATTTTAAATGTATGATTTGGGGGGCCGGCCCGGTTGCATAGCGATAAAGTGCGCACGCTCTGCTTCGGCGGCCCGGGGTCGCAGGTTTGGATCCTGGGCGCGCACCAACGCACCCCTTGTCAAGCCATGCTGTGCCGGCGTCCCACATAAAGTGGAGGAAGATGGGCATGGATGTTAGCCCAGGGCCAATCTTCCTCGGCAAAAAGAGGAGGATTGGCATGGATGTTAGCTCAGGGCTGATCTTCCTCACACACACACACACAAAAGTATGATTTGGAATGAGTGTTACTGAAATTGAAGATTAGAATATGCTCGCTGAGTGTTATATTCAAGGACTCATCAGGCTGAACATAAATCCACATTAAAGATGAATAAAAATGCTCAAGGGCAACAATAAAATATGGTAACATGAAAGAAGCAGTATCTGCCTCAGCGTTCATGTAAAAGGTAACTTTCCATATCACATATATGTAAGGGAATTGTCCTCAAATAATTCATAGTAGATCTATTCCCCTCTGGTTTTGATATTCTACTAGCTTATGAATCTTAAGTAAAAATATCATTTGCATCACTTGTTTCATGGCTTAAGGAACATTTGGTAATTTATAGCCATCAAATATCAGAGCTCAAAGGCTTGTGGAAACCATTTAGTACCCCTATCCAAGCCCCATTTTAAAGGTGAGAAACTGAGGCCAGGAGAGGGGTCCTGACTAGTCACAGAGTGAGTTTATGCTGACGTCTTGTCCAGGGTCCTTTTTCATAAGGGAATAGTGAAGAACTCTCCCCTGCCATGGGCAAGTGACATATAAGTAGAATATGTCATTTTCAAAGAAAGGTTATGTGGCTGCTGTGGACAGAATGTGTACCCCCAAAATTCATATGTTGAAACCCCAATCCCCAATGTGATGGTGTTTGGAGATGGGGCCTTTGGGAGGTAATTAGGTCATGAGGATGGAGCCCTCACGATGGGATTAGTGCCCTTATGAGAAGAGACATGAGAGAGCCTCCTTCCTCTCCTTGTTCTCCAGCATGTGAGGATACAAAGACAAGATGGCACCTGCAAACCAGGAAGCAGGCCCTCTCCACACACCAGATCTGCCAGCACCTTGATCTTGAATTTCGCAGCCTCCAGAACTCTGAGAAATAAACATTTGTTGTTTATACCACCCAGTCTATTTCTTATAGCAGCCTGAACTAAGACATAAAATTTGAAAGATACAAATAAACTTTTCATATAATCTTAAAGAAAAGTCAAGACTTCATGTTTTATTTTTTCCAAAGTGAAAAATATATCACGATTTTACTTCTTCCCAGTGGCATCAAAACAAAATAGGCTATTTAAGATGAGAAAATTTTCAGAGCGTGTTCAATTCAGCCCCAAATAGGTGTTACAAAATGGCCTGTGTCCTGACCCCACTGACCTTCTAGTCAATGCAGGCAGGCAATTATCAGTTGTAACACATTCTTCTCCAACACCAGTCACCTCATGCAGGTAATAGCAATGCTAGCAGCAATAATCACTCCAGGTGTGCACCTGCCAGCAGTTACAATTCCCTCTCTGTTTCCCACACAGGTGGCAGGAACAAAGGTGGCATGATGGTTTTACCTTCGGCAACGCTCATCAGCTCCTTCACCTGCAGGATGACTGGGGTCAGGGTCCCCGTCCGGTTCACGGAGGTGAGGTAGCTCTCCAATTCACCTTCAAACACATCCAGCTCATCTCTCACATACACGAACATGTAGAACTCAATGGCAATGAACTGGGGACACAGAGTAAACGTTTCAAGGTCTCACCTGAGTCCAGCTCAGTATGTGAACAACATATGGGTCTCTGGTTTTGAGGCCAAAACTCTTCAAAATTTGTAACTCATCTGAAATAGACTCTAGATTGGCTATACTGAGATGAACAGGATTGTGATTTCTTTGGAGACAGGAGTCACTCCACACTCTGTTCTTCACCCTACAGCACACAAGACCACGCCTCACAAGGGCTCGAGGAACTTTTCAAACATTAGTGAAATCAGAGTGAAGTGAATGGCTCACTTTGAATAAGGGGTGACATTGGGGACAATTCCAGCCATCTCTCACTGTTCCCCCTCTTGCATCTTGGTGGTAACCAAATTGGAGAAGGTACCACTTCCTGTACACATATCATGCTTGCTCACTCCCACCATCCTGTCCTCATGCCTTCTATCGTCATGCCAATGCTTCTAGAGTTCCTGCTGCCATTTTACTTCACCAGCCGAATCTTGTTTATCTCTGAATGTGGAGCTCAAATGCTGTTGTCTTCAGGTAGCTTCATAATTCACTAACCTTCCAGAACACTTTCACCTTTCCTTTTTCTCTCTTTAGATGGCAGGTACTTCATACCATCTTCTCTCCTTCTCTTAGACCATGGGCTTCTCCAAGCCAAAAACCCCCCCTCCAGCTCTTAGCATAGTGCTTGCCATAGAGTAGATAACCAATAAAATTTAAGAAACACAATAACTCCAAGTGAGTTATTTATTGTTGCAAAGAATTCTAGTTGTCCATTAAAATCCATTCACCCTTACTTTGGGCACAAAGCTGGACTACATTTTCCAGCCTCCCTTGAGTTAGATGTGGCCACGTGTCAAGGTTCTTGCCAAAGGAAGAGGAATGGGAGGAATGTGTGCTGCTTCCACACGGCCTTTGAAAACCTCCCACATGCATTTCTCCACACACTTTCCCCTTCTGCTCACTGGCTGCAGATGGTGAGGGTTCTTGGGGATGATGAAGGCACATGATGGAAGAATCTGGATTATGGAATAGCACATGGAGAACTGCTGCCTCCCAACCTGACCACCACTCAACATTGCTATGTGGGCAAAAATATATGTGGTGTTAAGTCACTGAAATTTGGGGGTTTATGTGGTACTTCAGCATAACCTAAGTAATATATTCAACTAAAACTTAAGCACAGGATTAGTTTATATAGGCATCATCCTAGTACATTTAAAATGAGCACAAGACAATTTGGCCTTGCTATTTTTATGCCTCCATTTTGACTCAGACATTTTACCTCACATAACTTGGACCACATGAAATGTTTTGAATCTGTGCTTAATAAAATACTGAAGTCAGAATTATGCCAACATTTAAAATTTCTTGTTGAGAAAGCAAACTTAAATAAGAGCAAAATAAAATAAAGCATTTTAATTTTTGATCCATTTTTTGAAATATAGTACAGTAGACAAATTCTAGTTTTTCCCCTTTTATTTTTATTATCCAATGAAATTATTTATTAGGATCAATTATTTTATGTTTAAATGACATGACTTTTGTTCATGGCATAATTTGCTGACTATAGATTCTGCTATTGTAAGTTTCCTTTAGGTATCATTGTCTCTACCAAGTCAACGTTCCTGGGTCAAATTTTGCATATCAAAATGTTTTCAAATATATTTCTCTCCCATCAATTTTTAGTCAATGATAAATTTTACCATGTGCAGGTTTAACTATTATCAGTTTGATTTTGTGTGGATTTTTTTTATTAAAGATTTTATTTTTTTAGAGAAGTTTTAGATTCACAGCAAAATTGAGAAGAAGGTTCAGAGATATCCTATAGTCCTAACTGCCCCCACACTTGTATAGCATCCTGCATTATCAATAAATATCGCCCACCAGAGTGGTACATATGTTACAATTAATGCACCTATACTGAAACATCATTATCACCCAAAGTCCATAGGTCACCATCAGGGTTCACTCTTGGTCTTGTGCAGTCTATGGATTTGGACAAATGTCTAATGACATGTCTTCACCATTACAGTATCATACAAAGTATTTTCATTGCCCTAAAAATCTTCTGTGCTCTGCCTATTCACCCCTCCCTCCCTGCAACCCCTGCAACCACTGATCTTTTACTGTCTCCATAATTTTGCCTTTTTCAAAATGCCATATAGTTGGAATCATATAGTATGTAGCCTTTTCAGACTGGCATCTTTCACTTAGTAATATACATTTAAGTTTCCTGCATGACTTTTCATGGCTTGATAGTTCATTTCTTTTTAGCACTGAATTGTATTTCATTGTCTGGATGTACCACACATTATTTAGCCATTCACCTACTGAAGGACTCTTGGTTGCTTCCACATTTTGGCAGTTACATATAAAGTTACTATAAACATCTTTATGCAGGTTTTTGTGTGGACATAAATTTTCAATGCATTTGGGTAAATACCAAAAAGGGTGATTCCTGGATCATATGGTAAGAGTATGTTTAGTTTTGCAAGAACTCACCAAACTGTCTTCCAAAGTAGCTGTACCATTTTGTATTCCTACCAGCAATGAATGAGAGTTCCTGTTGCTCCACATCCTTGTCAGCATTTGATGTTGTCAGTGTTCTGAATGTTGGCCATTCTAATAGGTATGTAGTAGTAGTATCTCATTGTTGTTTTAATTTGTATTTCTCTGATGACATATGCTGTAAAGCATCTTTTAATATGCTTAATGTGCCACGTGTATATCTTCTTTTTGAGGTGTCTATTAAGGTCTTTGGTCCATTTTTCAATGGATTTTTGTTTTCTTATTGTTGAATTTTAAGACTTCTTTGTATATTTTGTCTCCCAAGGTGTGGTTTGTCTTTTCATTCTCTTGACAGTGTCTTTTGCAGAGCAGAATTTTTTTATTTTAATGAAGTTCAGATTGTCAATTCTTTCTTTCATGGATTGTGTCTTTGGTGTCGTATCTAAAAAGTCATTACCAAGCCCAAAGTCATCTAGATTTTCTCCTATGTTATCTTCCAGGAGTTTTATAGTTTTTCATTTGACATTTAGGTCTATGATCCATTTTAAGTTAATATTTATAAAAGGTGCAAGGTCTGTGTCTAGATTCATTTTTTTGCATGTGGATGTATTGTTGTTCTGGCACCATTTGTTGAAAAGAAAATCTCTGCTCCATTGTATTGCTTTTGCTCCTTTGTCAAAGATAAGTTGACTATATTTATGTTGGTGTATTTCTTGGCTCTCTATTCTGTCCATTGATTTATTTGTCTATTCTTTTGCCAACACCACACTGTCTTGATTAGTGCAGCTTTACAGTAAGTCTTGAAATTGAGTAGTGTCAGTCCTTCAACTTTCTCCTTCTCCTTTAATATTGTGTTGGCTATTATGAGTCTTTTGCCTCTCCATACAAACTTTAGAACCAGTTGGTCAATATCCACAAAATAACTTCCTGGGATTTTGATTGGGATTGCATTGAATCCCACTATAGATCAATCCCAATATAGATAGATCAAGTTGGGAAGAACTGATATCTTGACAATATTGACTCTTCCTATCCATGAATATGTAATATCTCTCCATTTATTTAGTTCTTCTTTGATTTGTTTCAATAGAGTTTTGTACTTTTCCTCATGTAGATCTTGTACATATTTTGTTAGATTTTCACCTAAGCATTTCTTTTGGGGGGTGCTAATGTAAATGGTATTGTGTTTTTAATTTCAAATTCCACTTGTTCATTGCTGATATATAGAAAACCAATTGACTTTTGTATGTTAACCTTGTACCATACGACCTTGCTATAATTGCTTATTAGTTCCAGGAGGATTTTTGGTGATTCTTTTGATTTTCTACATACTCAGTCATGTCATCTGTGAACAAAGACATTTTTACTTCTTCCTTCCCAATCAGTATGCTTTTACTTCCTTTTCTTTTCTTGTCTTATTGCATTAGCTAGGATTTCCAGTAAATGTTGAAAAAGAGTGGTGAGAGGGAACATCCTTGCCTTCTTTCTGATCTTAGTGGGAAAGCTTCTTATTTCTCACTATAAAGTATGATGTTAGCTGTATATTTTTATCAGATTGAGGAAGTTCTCCTCTATTCCTAGGTTACTAAAAATTTTTATGATAAATTGGTGTTGGATTTTGTTAAATGTTTTTTCTGCATCTATTGATATAATCATGTGATTTCGCTTGTTTCGACTGTTGATGTGACTGATTACATTAACTGATTTTTTAATATTGTGCCAGCTTTGCATATCTGGTATAAATCCCACTTGGTTGTGGTGTATAATTCTTTTTACACATTGTTGGATTTGATTTACTAATATTTTGTTTAGAATTTTTGCATCTATGCTCATGAGAGATATTGGGCTGCAGTTTTCTTGTAATGTCTTTGTCTGGTTTTGGTATTAGGATGATGCTGGCCTCATAGAATGAGTTAGGAAGTATTCACTGTGCATTTATCTTCTGAAAGAGATTATAGAGAATTAGTACAATTTCTTCCATACTTGTTTCGTAGAACTCACCAGTGAACCCATCTGGGCCTTGTGCTTTCTGTTTTAAAGGTCATTACTTACTGATTCAATTTCTTTAATAGACATAGGCCTATTCAGATTGTCTATTTCTTCTTGTGTGAGTTGTGGCAGATTGTGTCTTTCAAGGAATTGGTCCAGATGGTTATCAAATTTGTGGGCATAGAGTTTTTAATACTATTCCTTTCTTATTCTTTTAATGCTCATGGAATCTGTAGTGATGTTCCCTCTTTCATTTCTGACATGAGTAATTTGTGCCCTCTCTCCTTTTTTCTTAGTTATTCTGGCAGAAGCTTATTGATTTTATTGATTGTGTTAAAGAATCAGCTTTTGGTTTCATTGATTTTCTTTACTGATTTCCTGTTTTCAATTTCATAGGTTTCTGCTGTAATTTTTATTGTATCTATTCTTCTGCTTACTTTGTATTTAAATTGCTCTTCTCTTTTTAGTTTCCTAAGGTGGAAGCTTAGATGATTGATTTCAGATCTTTCTTTGTTTCTAATGTATACATTCAATGCTATAAATTTCCCTCTAAGCACTGCTTTTGCTGCCTCCCACAAATTTTGATAAGTTGTGTTTTCATTTTCATTTATTTTTAATTTCTCTTGAGATTTTTTCTTTGACCCATATGTTACTTAAAAATATGTTTTTTAATTTCCACTATTTTGGGATTCTCCAGTTTTCTTTCTGTTATTGATTTCTAGTTTAATTCCATTGTGGCCTGAGAGCAGACACTGTAGGATTTCTATTCTGTTAAATTTGTTAAGGTGTGTTTTGTGGTCCAGGATGTGGTCTATATTGGTGAATGTTCCATGTAATCTTGAGAAAAATGTGTATTCTGCTGTTGATGAAGTAGTCTGTGGATGTCCAAAATATCCAATTGATTGATGGTGTCAATTACAGTTCAGATTTCCCTACCTTGGCACTGGTTCCCATGGGGTTTCTGCTCCATTCTGTTGTGACTCTCTATATCCACCTATCTGTCTCTCCAATTTTAGGGGCAGTGGTTTGCCCCATGACCTCATTTCTCTTATAGATCTAAGAAGAGTTGTTGATTTTTCAGTTCAGGGTTTTACCTGTTGTTAGGATGGAGTGGTGTCTTGCAAGCTCTTTACATGCGGAATTGGCAGCTGGAAGTCTCCTTAAATAATTCAATTATATGTACTAGTTACATTCACCAGGTGGGTAAAAGTGTCCTTGGAGTCAAAATGGTAGAGTCAAAGAATTGTACTTCTTTGATTTACAGAGATTCAATTTTGATCCAGCTTTTTAAGAACAGCCCTTGCCCTAGCCCCACCCCATTTATGAAACAGAAAAGGATTTGCTCAGATCTACTTACAAGGTACAGGCAGATAAAAGCCAACACAGTGGTTCCGATCATTCGGCTTGGGAACTGAAAGCAGGGGTCCCACTCATATACCCTGGTTTGAAACCAAGACTTTTTTTTCTCCCTGTGAGTGAATAAACACCAAGAAAAAACAGGTTGTGGTTGGTAAACAAATGCCTGATTCTTCTGAAAATAACCTCATCTCCTCCTCTTCGTCTCAGAGTGGAGTGAAGAGAAAGAACACTGGGAGATTCCACAGTTTTCATTCTCCCTTTAGTCTTAAGAACAGAGACTCAGTTTTATTCAGTGCAGCAGTTCACCAAACTAAAAGTTCCTGACCTCTCTTACAGCTACGAGTGACCAGGACTAAGAAGTACAGGCCAATGAGCTGTGATCAGAAGTGTGGTGTGGAACTTTGGGGAGGGTGCTTAGATGGAACCAACACAGCTGGGAAGGACCCCATTGCCCTTCCTTCTTTTCTCCTGCCTGCCATCTGAAATGCAGACATGGTGGCTGGTCCAGGCTGGAGCCCCAGCATCTATCTGTGACCATGGACAGCCTTCATAATGGAAACCACTAAGATACTGGAGCAGAAAGACAGATGGTCGGTAACCTGCCATGGTGAACAGTCTAGGGTCAGTATAGACTTCCCACCTCCAGAATTCTTTTACATGAGAGAGAAATAAATCTCTCTCTTGTTTGTGCCACTATTATTTTGCATTTTCTGCCATATGTAGCCAAATGTAGTTCTAACCAAAGTACTAGCTTTGCCACTGTGTGACCTTGGACTATATACGTCCCTTCTCTGGAGCACATCCCCTTGTACATAGTGGCAGTGACAGGGGTGGGGTGACCTGTATGAGGCCACGAGCTATGTCCTCTTTTATTGGTAATGACATTTGAGTTTTTCTCTGGGAATCTACTCCTCCCCACCATCAGTCCTGTGGTTCAGTAAGACTGAACCACTTCCTGGTTCCAGTGGTGACCACGTGACCCACACTTAACAATCACTTTTCTCCAATCACCCAGCCACAGGAATTGGTTCTGGGATGGCATGGGCTCCAGTTTGATCCAATGAAACACATTCATGGGAATTTTGTTTGAATTATTAGAAAGGAAAATTTCTTTTTCCTGTGAGCTTAAACCAGGAGAGTATAACTTGACATTCTGGGAGCCATCATAGGAAGGAAGCCCACCTATGAGGCTAAGAGATAAAAGCAGAGCTGAGAAGAGGTGAGGGAAAGAGATCTAGTTCTGATGATATCAGTTAAGCCCCTGGATCCATCTGTGTCTGAAACTGACTATCTCATGTTTTAAATCATGTAAGGCCATAAATTTCCTTTTTGTCTTTCCTCCAGTTTGAGTTGAGTTTCTGTTATTAGCAAACAAGTGCCCTTCCAGTCCTCTCAGGGTCTCTCACGCTGTCAGGGCCCATCAGTGTTGGTGCAAACAGCGAGGGGTGAATAAATCCATCTTTGACTTACTGCACGGGCAACTTCCTCAGGAGCTTTTTGACATGCTCGGCCTGGTGAACTTCCAAGAAAGGCTTTTCTTCCTGTGAGAAAAGAGAGAGGTTTATGCTTCGGCTCACAAATTCGAGTTTTGGTCTCTGAGGGGCTGTCATCACAGAGGGCAGGAATTTGGGTAAAACTTGCTCTTTTGGATTGAGCCATTCCCAGACATCTGTCATTTCTTAAAGAGAGGGGCAAGGTCCAGTCTCCTGATCACCAAGCACTTGCTTTCATGAAACGCCAGAGGTCTGGCCTTCCGTGACTCTTCTGCTTACTGAGTGCACAGGCACTGTTTCGTGAAGTCCTTTTTCCCTTTGAGATTTGGTGATTTCCCATCGTAGTTCAAAACATTGTTTCAGGAATGAAACACTCCAAAACCTAGTGTTTTTACTTCTTATGAATAGGAGTTTCTTTTGCTCATTTCTTATTTCGCAGTATTTGAAGAAATAAACGTCAATGGTATGTTTTGAAATGCTTTATCCAAGTGTGATAAGTTTTCCACAATAGTCATCTATTTTGCTACACATATTTAATGTGTAAACTGTATTTGCTATGAGATGAATCTTACATGTTGCCAATATGTAAGAGGGAAGTTTATAGCAGTAAACACCTACATTAAGAAAAAAGAAAGATATCAAATAAACAACCTAACTTTATACCTCAAGGAATTAGAAAAAGAAGAAGAGTGAGTGGTTCAGAGAGAGCCTCAACAAACAAACTGTTTGGGTTCCCGTTCTGGCTCTGCTACAGACTAGCTACGTGACCCTGGGCAACGCAACTCACCTCTCTGGGTCCAAGTTTCGTAATGCAGAATGGAAGATGTAATAGTAGTGCCTACCTCACAGCGCTGTGGTGAAGACCAAACCTGTCAGAGCACACACAGTGCTTGTACGTGGTGCTCACCATCGGGAGCTCCCAGCCCAGGCGGACCCTCAGAGACTTGACAAACGTGTGCAGGAAGCGGCCCAGCAGGAAGGCCAGGCACAGCAGCGAGGGCCAGTAGAACACTATGGCCTCGTACCTCCCCACGAACTGCAACAGAAGCAGACCACGGGGTGCGCGCTCGAGCTGGGGCAGGGCCCGGCCCCTGGTGAAGCTGTGGTCAAGAATCTACCTGCCCCAGCCTGCTCCCACCAAGGCCCAGAGCTTGGATCTCTCAGAGCTTGGATCCCTGCTCCCCAGCCCAACCTCATCAAAGGAGCAGTGACTTGGAGTCTGGCAGCCATGGATTTGAGTCTCAACACCCGCATTTTATTTTATACAAAGGGCATCCATGGTTTTTTTCTGATTAGGTATTAAATGCTTTTGGAAAATATGAGAGGGAGGGAAAGAGAGAGGGAGAGAGGGAGGGAGAAGAAGGGAGAGGGAGGGTGAGGGAAGGTGAGAGAGGGAGAGAAAGGTGAGGTGGGGGAGATAAAGAGGGGAGGGATGGAGAGGGGAAAGAGGGAGAGAAATAGAGAATCAGAGAGAGAAAGGAAGGAAAGGAGGGAAGGAGGGAGGAAGGAAAAAAGGGCCTGTTATTGCCATCATGTTGGGAGCAGCACAAGCTCCCACATATAACAGGTCTCTCAAGATGATGCTCATAGTTTTTCTGTGTTTTCAGTTTCATTTTGATGAAAAAAAGGTTTTTTTCACTATTTTAAGACTAATAACATTGTGATTTGTCTTTCACAATTTACTAGTTGGTTTCATGTTTATTATTATTCATGTTTATAAACATGTAATGTTTATTACATTTCCAGAGTATTTCCCCCCATGGGAAATCAGGGTTTGATGTTGTGATGTTAGGGTGCAGGACAGAGATATGCTGAGATGTGGGGGCTCATGTCTTCCCTTCATCCTCCTCTCCAACATATGCTTTGAGACATAACCACTGTCAATACTTCAGTGTCTTTCATCTTTACCTGTGTCCATATTCATATATTATAAACTGAGATTGTAACAAATATATAGGTCTGTATATATCATAATCATTTCCCCACATGGTTAAAAATTATTTGCAAATACCACTTTTAATGCCACATAATAGTGCATTATTTAGATGAACCAAACTCTATTTAAACTTTCTCCTTATATTTGACATTTAGACTCTCCAGTATCTCTTTTTATTAATAATGTTTCCATGAATATATTTGAAATCATGAGACCAAATCTTTATTATTTCCTTAGTCTGGATTCCGGTCCCATGATTTTTAACTAGTAAGTTGTATACCCCCTGAGCCTCCTTCTCTTATCAGTGAACTGGGGATGGCACTGCCACACTGTCATCAACGTGTCTTGAGGACTCAACGATTAATTTTTGGGACTGAGCCTAGATCAGTGCCTAGCACATAGCAGTTCTTAATGTTAGTGATTCTGAGCATAGGAGTCAGACCCTGCTCTCTCCTCCAATTAACCATGAATATTTCAAATTTCAAAGGAACCTCTGGAAGACTGAAGCTCTCCAAGACTCTAACGAAAATTCCTGTGATGTGGAATCCCACACTGCAAGCAGTATGAAGGAGGTTTGGGCAGAGGTCTGCCAGAATGCTCTCAATCCTAGTGCAGAGACGCAGAGGGAGGGCCCACCTCTAAGCTTCATTTTACAATCCAGTGCCCCAGACTCTTCCTCACACCCTTTAATCCTCCACAGTTACTATAGGCCAGGAGAGGCTCCCGCAAGGCTCCTTGTAGGCTCCTAGCCCAGGTGGCCTCCTTGTGCTCTCCCACCTGCCTGGTAACCCTTCTAGGTGCAGCATGACATCCCTCTTTTTTCTTTCTCCTTTTCGTGGGGTACAGGGCTAAATAGACAAACTAGTTTTCCCCAATTCTGAGAACAATGCACAGCAAAGCTGTAAGTGGCTCATCTAGTCTGAGTCTCCCATTTTATAGACAGAGAAACTGAGGCTACATGAAGGAGTGAAAGAAATGAGCTTGGGAATCAGCCAGACCTGGTCTCAACTCCCAAATCTGCTGCTTCTTAAGAGTCACTTAATAAGCTTGGGCCTCAGTTTCCTCACCTGTAAATAGGTTTGCTGAAAGCTTCCCCATGTTGAGGGACTGCTGTGAGCAACCAATGAGAGAACATCCATCTGTGAACGAGCACCTTGATGAACCTAAGATGCTGTACAATGGAAGCATCATGAATGGCTCCAAATCCCCTTTTGTACACACGAGGAAGCTGAGGCCCAGAGAGTGGCAAAGGTTGTGCAAAGGCACACAGCAAGTTGGCCATGGTAATAGGACTGAATGCCCTAAGTGTAGCCCAGCGAGGACTCACCTGCAGCAAGTTGGCCATGGTAATAGGACTGAATGCCCTAAGTGTAGCCCAGCGAGGACTCACCTGCCCATGGGGACACTGTGTGATGTGATAGAGGGTGACAGCAAACCTGCAGGACAGAAACAGGGCTTAGGGCACTGGGGTTCCTCCCAGCACAGTCCCTGTGAAAATAGCCCAGATCCCACCAGCCTGCAGCTGCCTCCCATCCCTATCCTCCTTGGGAGGGCTGGTTCCCAGGCCTCCGTGTGCATCCCACCCAGATCAGGCACCCTGCTGGTGTCAAAGTTGGCACACACTGAATTCATTTAACATGCCCTCACTTCAGACACAAGCCCAGAATCCACATGGCAGAGCAGGCAGACCCTGAGAGATCTCATCCTCCCCACCACCCATCACTCAGGTGGGAAGACTGAAGCCCAGAGAGGGGAAGGGATTTGTCCAGAGTCACACCCAGAGCTGGGACCAAGACCCAGGTCTCTTGACTCTGGGGCGGAGGCTCTTTCTGCCTGGACGCGGCCGTGTGTGAAAACACTGCCCTGAGGAATGGGGTCAAGGCTTTACCCCCACTGCACACACTTTCCTGGCCGTGTTCAAGCTTGGGTCACACTCCCAAGGTGCCCAAACTGCTGAGCAATTCCCGCCACCCTTTCCTCTCCTGGTCAAAATGTCTGTTAGAGGCTCATACGATGATATTGCTCCATGTCTAACCCTGAATACTCTCTTTTAATTTTTAAAAAGCGAGCCACTTAGAATCTTTGGAAATGTAGCCATTGGTGTGTCAGTTGCTTGTGAGCCCCCTGCAGTGGCCCACACACTGGGCCTGGACCCTGCCCCATAGAAAATGCTGTGGGGGGAGCCGGCCCAGCGACTGGGATGCCGGCAGGGAAATGAGCCTCCTCCGGGCTGGAGAGCAGAATTGTTGGTGGGATTATTCAGTCAGCAAATATGCCCGGGGGCCAGCTCTCTGCTGGGTCTGGTGCCAGCGCTGAGGGCAGAGCTCAACAGGAGGATCAGGCCTACCATGTGTGGGGGCAGCGACCCACGCAGGATGAACAAATATCTATTACTGGGCCACGTAGGGGAAGATGATCCACACGGGGAACAGCAAAACACAGACAAGAGGCCAGAATGCATGATCCACAAGGGCTTGTCTTATTTTCCAGTATACTCCCTGGCTTACGGTGGGGATGGAATAGCACGTTTGCTGAATGAATACATGGATGGATGAAGGAATGTAGGGGTTTTATGTGACTTGTATGTGTGCTAGAGACTGTTAGGGGTGGAGAGACAGGAAGAGGCCAGACTGTGGTGGCCCTGAAGGCCAAGCCGAGGCACAGGCACTTCCTCCTGGGCTCCCAGGGAAGCCATGGCAGACGGAGAAGCAGCATCCAACGGGACTCCTGCTTCCACCAAGGGACCCTTGGCAGTTGACGGAAATGAATTTCTCTACATTCCTGACTTCTGGGAATATTCTTTTTATTTATTTTTTTGGGGGCGGGGGGAGGAAGATCAGCCCTGAGCTAACACCCACGCCAATCCTCCTCTTTTTGCTGAGGAAAACTGGCCCTGGGCTAATATCCGTGCCCATCTTCCTCCACTTTATGTGGGATGCCGGCACAGCATGGCCTGACAAGTGGTGTGTCGGTGCGCGCTCAGGATCCAAACCCAGGCCGCCAGCAGCGGAGCGCACACACTTAACCGCTACGCCACAGGGCCGGCTCCTCTGGGAATATTCTAATCATGAGTGGCCTTGTGTGAACCTGACAGAATGCTGGCCTGACCTTCTGAAGCCTCAAGTGCAGTCCCAAAGAGGGACCGCAGTGGAACCTTGGACCAGTCACTCTGCCCACCTGCCCTGGGCCTCAGCTCTGGGCTAAGGTGCCCTCCAAGAAGAGCTCTCAGGTCACCCCCAGCCCTTTGTCCAGAGTTCAGCCATGGCCAAGGAGTTGCAGGAGGCCAGGCGGGCGGAGTCTGTCTTACCAGATCAGAGAGTAGCTGAAGCCAAGGATGGAGCTGACTAGCCGGAACTCCGAAGAAAGGCAGGCAAAGAAGGGGAAGTGGGACAGGCCGACCTCGATACCTCCGATCAGAAGCACAAAGGCTGGGAGAGACAGGGCCAGAGAGGCTGTAAGTCCCTCTTCTCACAAGCTCAGGGGAGTCCTAGGGAAGCTATGGGGCTTCGTGCTGACTCGCAGTCATGAACCTCAGGACCCACCCAAGGAGATGAGTGGACGAGCCCCAGCTCAGCACAAGGAGGAATGCATGAATGTCTTTCATGCAACAGACCCTGCCTGGGACCTCCTCCATGCCAGGTACCTCTTGTAAACTATCGTGCACATTATACAGAAGGCAATGATAGTAATTTGGCCACTGACGAGCTCTGAGATGGTCTAGCAGGATCCAGGAAAATCTAATCAGGCAAGGTGACCTTTACTAAGTGTGTGCTTTGAGCTGGGTCCTGGGCCAGGCACTAAGGACAGAAGAGGAATGAACAAGTTTCTTACTTTGAGATGATTACAGTCCCATAGAGAAGATGGAGAGGAAAGTAAGTAGTGTGATATGTATTGTACCAGAGGCATATTCAACCGGCTGTGGGGACAAGAAGAGGAAGCCACTGACCTTACCTGGGGTCTGGGTATCAGGGAAGGCTTCCTTCCTGGAGGTGGTGACATTTAGCAAGGCCATGAAACATAAGCAGGAGTTTGTAAGATGGAGAGAAGCAGGGAAGGAAGGACATTCCTCACTCAAAGGATGGGAGATGGCCAGTTGGGTCTGGTCAATATTGGTGTGAATCTGAGTGGTGGAAGATTGGCAGGAAAGGGCAATATCAAAGGAATAATTGCTGTAAAGACAGAAGCCTCAACAGCATAATTTTTTAATTTACCTGAACTCTCCCTGCTATGGAAGCCGATAGAGCAACTAAGATGGCGAAACCAAAAACCCACAGACAACATCTACAACAAATGTAGGTGACAAGACCCATTTGATATCAACATGTGAGTGAGAGGAAGCAGAGGGAAGACAACAGGATGTGAAGGCCCGAGAACAGAAGAACCCAAAATTGCCGGCAGATACAGGAAATTGAAGCCGAAATAACAGCTGAAACTGAGCAAGGTGCTAAAGGCCATGACTCACAGGTGAGAATAAGCAGACCTTAGTAAGGTCTGACGTGCTGGAGTTGTTGGGGCCATGAACTCACTGTATTAAGTATCTAAGTCCCCTCCCGGGACAGAGCCCCACGTGGTGGTGCACTGCTGGCAGAAAGGCTCCAATGAGAAAGATAGGAGCATTAGGAGCTGGGAAATAGTGGGTCCAGACAAAAGTGGAGGGAAGAAGCCGACTCAGAAAGAATGAGGAGGTACTGAGGGTACATACATTTAACCACTTTGTGAAAACAGACGAGGGAACCCTGACGTAAGACACGACGTTCTGGCCCAGCCAGGTGTTCAACATCATTAGTCTTCAGGGAAATGCAAATCAAGACAACAATTAGATACTACTTCACACCTACTAAGATGGCTATAATAATAAAAACAAAAAACAGAAAATAACAAGTGTTGGCTAGGATGTGGAGAAACTGGAACCTTCACACATTGTAGATCAATGGAACAGAATACAGAGTCCAGAAATAGACCCAGACGAATGTACCCAATTGATTTTAGATAAAGGTACAAAGGCAATTTAGGGCAAAGGACAGGTTTTTGTAACAAATAGTTCTGGAACAAATGGATATCCAAAAGCAAAAAAAAAAAAAAGGAACTTCAGGGAGCCGGCCCGGTGGCATAGCTGTTAAGTGTGTGCACTCTGCTTTGGCAGCCCAGGGTTCTCGATTTTGGATCCCAGGCACAGACCGACGCACCGCTTGTCAAGCCATGCTGTGGCAGCGTCCCATATAAAGTAGAGGAAGATGGGCACGGATGTTAGCCCAGGGCCAATCTTCCTGAGCAAAAACAAGAGGAGGATTAGCAATGGATGTTAGCTCAGGGCTAATGTTCCTCACAAAAAAAAAAGGAACTTCAATCCACACCTCACACTATATGCAAAAAAATTAACTCAAAATGTATCATAGACTTAAGCGAAAAACATAAGACTATAAAACTTCTGGTAAAAACATAGGAGAAAATCTAAGTGCCCTTAGATTAGACAAAGATTTCTTATATGAAACTATAAGCACAATCCATAAAAGAAAAAAATGAATAAATTGGATTTCATCAAATTTTAAGTGTCATCTCTTCAAAAGAAACCATTGATAGAATAAAAATACACGCTCAGACTTGGAGAAAATATTTGCAATTCACACATCTGATAAAGGATTTATATCCAGATTATATAAAGAACTCTCAAAACACAATAAAAAGAAAACAAAAAACTCAATTTTTTAAAATAGGCAAATGATTTGAACAGACACTTCACCAAAAAAGGCATAGGGATAGCAAATAAGCACATGAAAATATGCTCAATATCATTAGTCATTACAAAAATGCAAATTAATACCACAATAAGATACCACTACACAGCTCTTAGAATGGCCAAAATTAAAAAGACTGACCGTGTGTTGTCAAGGGTATAGAGAAACTAGAACTCTCATACACTGATGGTGGTAATCTAAAATGGAACAATCATTTTGGAAAACAGTTTGACAGTTTCTTAAAAAGTATGACTTAGTACATGATCTATATGATCCAGTCATTCCACTCATAGCTATTTACTCAAGAAAAATGGAAACACAGTATATATGAAGACTTGTAATGTTCACAACAGCTTTATCTGTAATAGCAAAAAACTGGAAATAAATCAAATGCCGATCAACAAGTGAATGGATAAACAAACTGTGGTATCTCCATATAGTGGAATACTACTCAGCAATGAAAAAGGAGTGAATTTCCGATACATGCTAAACATGTATGAATATCAAAATAACAATGCTATGTGAAAGAAACCAGTCCCTCCTGTCCCCACCAAAATGAGTATATTCATTTATACTGTATGATTCCATTTATACAACTGCCTGGGGATGGTGGTGGTGACAGGATAGGGGTGGGAAGGGGAGATTACAAAGGGAACAAGTTAACTTCTGGGGTTTATTATCTGGATTGTGGTGATGATTTCCTAGATGTAAACATTTGTCAAAACTTATCAAATTGTGTACTTCTAACAGGTGTATAGTGGTGTATTATTTTGGTTTAATTTGCATTTCCCTGAAAACTAATGAGATGTTGGTAGGCATTTGCTCATACAGGCTTGGAGTCCATGAGAAAGAACTGGGCTGGACAGAGAGCATTTGGGAGTCATTGTATTAGGGATATTTGAACATGTAGATTAGAGTTGTTCCTTCAGAGAGAGCATGAAGCATGGGGAAAGAAGAGGCCTCAGACCAATGGCCAAAGAAGTAGTCATTGTTCTTTGAGGAAGTATCTGAGGGCTTATTGATAGCAAGAAGACAGCCATGGCTCTGACTCAGGAGAGATTTTTGGGGTGGGTGATGGTGAGTCTACTTCCCGAGTCTTTGTTCTACTGTCTAAAGGACCTCTGAATCTAACTGGGAGCAAGTCCCCACAAACAAGCTTTGAGACTTGGTGGGCTAGACCTTGACCTTGGGCAAGTAACAGGCCAGGAAGAACATTGACAGCTCACAACGCTTATCCCCTCATCCCAGAGAACCTTGCCATGCAATCTCTAAGAGCAAGAATTTCCCCGGCGAGATTCTCAGCAGGTGTGAGGCACCCCTTGTACCTTGAGCCCACTGCGGCACCTGCAGGGGCTGGTAGCTTTCTGAGAACAAGAACATGACCTTATTGGCTGTGGCCCCAAAGGCGATTCCATAGGACCATCGGTTACTAAAGGTGCCCACGAAGTCCAGAGGTCTGTGAAGAAGAGAAACAGCTTGTGAGGCTAGGAGGTGACTCATTCCCACAGTTCATCTCCAAAGTATCCACCCCACCCTGAGGAGGGATGACTGGGTAGTAAACTATTCATTTCAACCGACATTTCCTGAGGCCCTCTGTGCCAATTTGGGGGCTAGGCATGGATTCAGGGTACTGAAGTGAGGAAGACAAAATTCTTGCCCTTGGGGAGCTCCAAGTCTAGGGGAACCCAAGCAAGGACTCCAGTAGCCATGACAATAAGCAAAACGGGATGAGATTCATCCATGAGAGACACAGGCAGTATGACTCAAGAGACCAAAACACGGGGCAGGTCCCATCAGGTCTGGGGGCGCCTGCCCTGCACCCAGCACAGTCTGTGAGAGTTCTTCTTGCCAAACCCCCTAATGCAGGTCTGGGTATCACTGGCTTTGCTAGTTCTATGTGATCGCCCCTTCTTGACCACAGCTGATTGGACTATGGGTGACCACCTGACTTTGGATGGGTCAATCAGATGCTTGGTCTTGTCTTTTGGATTTGTGACCCTGAGGACATGAGCCAGTTAGATTACAATTCTTTTCTAGAAAGTCATGCCAGTCCCCCCAACACTGGACCCCACCATGGACAGCCCTGCCCTCCCTGCCCAAACCCAACCAAAGCTCAGAGAGTTCAGAATTGGCTTCCAAGCCACTGCACCCTCCACACCCAGGGCTACCCAGATGTGCTTAAAACATCTCAAGGAGGCTCAGCTCACTATGGGAAAGGCCTTCCCACACTCAGCACGATGGCTACCTAAGCGAGCAGGAGGGACAGAGTTCCCTGTCACAGGATAACTGGGAGTTATCCTGGCCTTAGAATTGGTGTTGGCCCCGAACACAGGGTACCCCAAGCAGTAGTGATCGACCCTGGCTCAACTCACATGATGATTCCAAAGTGGTTCCCCAGGAGGTAAGAAGTGTCACCTCTCTGTCTACAGTGCTCTCGTCTTTGGAGAAAGGACAAGACCAAAATGATGAAAAGCTATAGGAAGAGAAGATGAGAGTGTCAGTAGGAATATTGATCCTCGGCGTGACCTTGATGCCCTTTCTGAAAGAGAGTGTGTCAGTGAACAGAGCACTCAGAATGTCTATGAATCCTCAAACTCCAGACTCAGGGAGCTGGCTGCACACACCCTTGAGCTTCCAGAATCTTTTGTACTGGGCTTTCCTTTGCGTTGCCCTGAACAGACATGGGTTAAAATCTAGTCTCTCCTACATACTGGCTGGAAGGGAGACATAACTTATCTGAACCTCAGTTTCCTCGTCTGTAAAAAGGGGATAATACTGTCAGGTTAAAAATCCTTCTTTACTTTTTCTCCTGTGGATTCAGTCATATTCTCACATACTTGATGCCTTTTTTCTCTTTCCCTTTACTAGAAACTTCTTGAGAATTGTCTACACTTGCTGTCTCCATTTCCTCACCTCTCACTTGCTCTTCAACCCACTAACCTGGCTTCTACCCTCATCACTCCACAGAAACAGTTCTGGCCAAAGTCACTAATAACCATCTTGTTGATCAATCCAATGTAAACTTTAAGCCCAAATCTGGCTTGACCTCTCAGCTGCATTCCACAGTGTTGACCCCTTTCTCCTCCTAGAAACACTCTCCTCCCTAGGCTTCCATCAACCATGCTTTTCTGGTTTGTCTCGATTACTTCTCAGTCTTCTTTGCTGGATCATTCTTTACCCAATCACTAGATTTGGAGTTCAGTCCAAGGACCTCTCCTCTTATTACCTGATCCTCTCTTCCTCGGTGGTCTCATCCATGTCCATGCTGTCAATGGCCACCAATACAAAGAAGACTCACAGACATGAATCTCCAACTCAGACTTGACCCCTGAGCTCCATAACTGTTCATCCAACTACATAGTCGCCATTTCCTTTTTATGTGTTTGAAGCTTCTCAAATTCAGTATGTCTTAAATGGAACTCATGATTTTCCTTCCTGCCCTATTCTTTCATTCACCCCAAACCTGGATCTCGTCTCATTTTCCTTAACTAGTGAATGGCAGATAGCACCATCCTTCTAGCTGTGCAAGTTAGAAACCCAAGTCATCCTCAACCTCTCCCTCTCCTTAACTTCTCTATACAACCCATTACCCAGTCCTATTGTTTTTACCTCTCAAACATCTCCAGTTGACCACCACCATCTAAGATGAGCTAAAATCGCCTCTCACCTGGACCCCTGCAAGCATTCCTAATGGGTCTTCCTGCCACCTCTCTTGCCCACCTCCAAGCTGATCTCCACCTTGCAACCAGAGTGATCGTTTCAAAACATAAATCTGATTACACCACTCTCATGCTGGTAACACTCCAATTACTTCCCATTTTACTTTCAATAAAGCCCCACCAGGCTCCACCTGGCCTGGCCCTGCCCACCTGCCCAGACACCTCTACCTCCATTCTCCACTCCAGCCATGGCGGCCCTCTCTGTTCCTCAGTCTCCATTCTTCCTCTCTTCACAGAGCTTTTGCACGTGATCGCCCCTCTGCCTGAGATGCTCTTTACTACATCTTCCAACAGACCTCAGCTCCATCACTGCTTCCTCAGAAAAGCCTTTTTTGACTCCCCTAAAAGCCAGTGTCCCTGACTCCTGGGCCCTTAAAAGCCTTCTTCTGCCTGTGTTTTTGGTGCATAATGTAAGAGAGCAAGATGAGATTTAGAAGGAAGCTCAGCTTATGTCTCTCCCCTGACCCATTCAGGCCTCTTTGGGAGCCTGTGTAGGGGAGCAGCCCAGCTCCCATTCCCTCTGCCCCTCACCCCTCCCCTGCCTTTACTTACTGATGGGAGAAGAGAGTAATGGAGAAAGAGCTCCATATCCACTGAGCTGGCACAGGTGCCATTTAGCTGCCTGGTCCTGAAAAACGGCCAAAAAACACATTCACATCATCAGTCACTGCTGCAGTCATTGACCCTTTAGCTGTGAGCACCACCATCAGGAATTTGGCTTGTGGCCCACCGAGATCATCTGATCTTTTTAAATTTCGCTTTCTCAGGGCCAGTGCTGCTCACCTGTGACGTGTCTCCCTTAAGTGAATTAATCTTCTTTCATATTTCTTTCTCCAGCTTGATTATCTATCCGACTGCCCTGCTAACTGTATCTAACTCCTCCCTTTCTTTAATGACACATCAAGGACAGATTTAGGTTCTGTGGGGCCCAAAGCTTATATAATGTGGATGTCCTTTTTATTTATTTATTTTTTATTATAATTTTATTTATTTATTTATTTTCCCCCAAAGCCCCAGTATATAGTTGTATGTCATAGCTGCACGTCCTTCTAGTTGCTGTATGTGGGACGCAGCCTCAGCATGGCCGGAGAAGCGGTGCATCGGTGCACGGCCGGGATCCGAACCCGGGCTGCCAGCAGCGGAGCACGCGCGCTTAACCGGTAAGCCACGGGCCCGGCCCTGGATGTCCTTTTTAAATAAAACTACAAAAATATCTCACTTTTTCATATTTCAAGGAAAACATATTACCATGTAAACACTTAACTAATGTGCCTGCCACCCTCCCAGAGCCGCGGTCGGGTCCTGTGCAATTGAGGGGCCTGAGACTTAAGCTTCAATAACTTCACAGGAAATCAGCCTTTGGACACAGTTTTCCATAATCAGAGGTCACGAAGCATCAGCTCACTCCTGATCCACTGCAGGGGTGTTGGGGCAGGTCAGTAGTTATCTGGACTACAGACTGTGGACTCTGTCCTCTCCAGGCTTCACAGTCTGCAGGGGCTGCTGGGGTCTCATGTCTAAAACATGTGACAGCAGTTTCATGGCTTCTCTTTGAAAGGGACCTCCTCCTTTCTGGGCTCCCCTCACACTTCATCCTCGCTGCTCTGACTTCCACTACACCACCAGAGCACGCTCTCTCCCACCTCCCGATCTTTGCTCGCTCCTGCAGCATCCATCTAGCCCTTCCCTGGGCGTCCTTCCTTGGCCAGCTCCGAATTTCCCTCAGAAGTCTCAGGGAAGAGCACTCTCCGGGGGAGCCCCTGAGTGTGGCACATTCCCCCATAATTCTTTAAGATCCCAGTACTCCACAGTTATGTCTAACTCTGGGGCTGAAACATCCTAGCAGTGGTGGGGACTCAAGCTATCAGAAATGTGATAGAACTGTACAAGTCAGACTTCTGCTTTTAGGAAGGTAAACTGAACACATACATCAGTCTCCCCATCCCATATAAAACCCTCAAAATGATAGGAAAGATGTGTTTTTCTTTAAAGAAAGAAAGAAAACATAGCTACATTTGAAAGCAAGAAGGGAAGCTATTGGGGACACAGAAACTACTAGAAGACCTGCAATGATGGAGAGCAGTTGGGACTAGATCAAAGAGAAAAAGCATCAGCCAACATGGCTACAGACTACGGGGCCACACAAGATATGCTCTACACCCACAGTGCAAGAGGCTGGAGCCAGACGGGCTTGCCAACAGACCACAGAATGATGAACTGGGGTCCCACAGAGACCCACATGTTCCACCCCTGCTGACAGGCCAGGGGCAGTGAGGTTTATGTCTCTGGGAGCAGTATATATGGGTCATGGAGAGGGAGGTGGTGCCCCCGGCCAAGGTGGCACCTGCGAGGGACCAGGAACCTCCGCTCCTGAGGTACCCCATCTAGCACTACATCCCACCTGCACCCCGCTGCACGGAGAGCAGGCTTCATACTAGCCGTGGGGCAGCTACCACCCCGCCGTGAAGCAAGCATCCCAGTGGAAAGCTCCATCACAAAGACGAGCACACAATGAAGAGCCAGCAGACATCCGAGGAAAGATCACACCACAAATGGATCTCAAGACTCAACAGACTGAGGAACCCACTCCTGAGGAAATGAAGTTAACATGGAACCTCTCTGAGGTAACTACCAGAGGAAATGCTCTACGAGGAGAATAACTCCAGGAAGAAGTAAAGGATGCAAGAAGCAGCAATAAGCAAAGAAATTAGCCAAACTTACTGTTAATCCTGAGCACAGGATTTCAACAGATATATTTAAGTTTACGTACATTTTTACAAAGATAAGAACTCAAAAAGACCCTCTGAAAGAAATATTGGAGGAAATTCTCAAGTAATAGGAAAAATGAATCTAGGAGGAAGGAGAAGGATTTAAAAGCAACAACAGAGAAATTAGTAAAACATTGTTAAATATCTAGATAAGAAATTACTGTAAAACGAAATGTTTGAAATGCCAATTAGGAGCTAAAATAGCAGACGACATCCCACATGAGAGGAGGGAGCAGTGGGAAGGACCCGGCGTGGACGCAGAGGGGAGTAAAGCGATGGCCAAGTGCTCGGCATGTTTGGGAGGGTGACAGAGAAGCCTGTTCTCTCTTTCTGGGCTTTCTAGGAAAAATATAATTCTAAATAAGTACATTAAAAATCCACAGCTAACTACCGGAAGAATATAAATAGAAAGTAAACCAGTATATTAAAAATGTATATGAAAGAAAGAAAACTCAATCACTCCAACAAATGACCAGGAAGAGAAAAAATGAAATAAAAGTTAAAAGAGAAACACCACAAGAAGAAAAATGTCCAAAGAATAGTAAGCCACCAACAAAGAAATAAAAATATTCAATAAATTCTAAAAATTTCAACTAGTAATAAAAGTAGAAATGAAGATGAAATGCTGTCTTATCTATTAAATTGGGAATGACTAAAAATACTACCAAGCATTATTAAAGGTTAACACAGGTTGGTATTCATTGACTGGTGGTCAGAGTGTAAACTGGTGCAACCATTCTCAGGGTTAATTTTGCAGTATATACCAAGAACCTTTAAAATGCAGCAATTCCACGTCTAGGAGTTCTGCTTCTAAAAACATAAGCTGAGGAGGGGGTAATCCACGGCCAGGTGCTGGCCCTGCGCTCTCCTGTGTGCCTCTTAGCCATGCCTCGAGAAATTGAAGAAATCAAGGACTTTCTGCTCACAGCCGGGCAAAGGATGCCAAATCTGTCAAGACCAAGAAAAATAAAAATGAAGTTTAAAGTTCAGTGTAGCCAATACCTTTATACCTTGGTCATCACAGACAAAGAGAAGTCAGAGAAACTGAAGTAATCTCTGCCCCCAGGTATGCCAGTGAGCTGAAACGAGCCAGGCGTGCTGATTAAAACTCTATCAAAAATTTTTTAATTCTTAAAAATATATATATGCTAAGGAAATAATCGGAGAGGTGCCAGAAGATAAGTACTAGAATGTTGAGGCATCTCATTCTCTCTCCCTCATATGTGTGTATAACATTTACATGTAATATATGCTGTTGTAAAACATTCAAAATAGTTACAAATGTATAAAGTAGTCCTTTCTCCTCCCATAATTATTTATAACCTATACAGTTTTAAGCAAAAATGGGATCAGACTAAACTTGATTTCTTCATTTAATCAATAAAAGAAAGGAAATTCATTTAATAAAGAAAGGAAATTTCTCAAGTCAATATCTACAGACCCATTGGACTCTTTTCTATGGGTGACTCTGCCTACGCAGACTCGCGGCTGGGCCTGTCTCCTGGCGGAGGGGCTGGGTGAGAGTTAGTCTGGCAGCAGCTCGCAGCAGGTGAACTCAAGGAGGGTCGACAGTGTAGCTCTCTAAATAAGGGGTCCATACTGTGGAGTCTGGTCCCCTGGGCTATGCTTCCACTCCAGCAGCCACTGTGGTGAACAGATGAATTGTGCCTGGAGTCAACCCAAGTTAGAAGGCCACTGAGACCCATTTCTTGGTCTCTTGAGACCCATACTGCTTCCTGGTGTGTCCAGGCTGGTGGAACAGATCTGTTGAAGGGTGAACAGCATCTATAGGACAGCAGCAAAACAGCATCCCCAAATGGAGAAGATCGTTCTCCAATGATGATGCCCTGGAAATGTGTTGATGATCTACCGTTAAGTGGAAGAAAGAAGACTATAAAACAACATGATCCCAAGTTGTGAATAGTGGTTCCTTCTTGGTGGTAGGATTAGAGGTCATTCTACTTCCTTTTTCTTTATGATGTTTTTAGATGTTCCAAGTGCAGTACATAGAGATATACTGCTTCACATTTGTGTATCTATCTCCAGTGCTTAGAACAGTGCCTGACACAAAGGAGACAGCAGTAAACACATGGTGAATGAATAAATGTTTGCTTTTGTAATCAGAGAAAAGATGGAACATTGTCCCAAAGCAATAAAACACCATTCTGAAGGGAAGATGTCCATGAAATCAGCAGAAAGTGAAAACACGCAAGGTTTGCTTTGTGATCAGGTAAAAATTACAAATCTTTCATTAAATAAAAAAGTTGAAAATAAAAAGCTATGAGGGCCAATCTGAGGTGTGCTCTCCGGCTGGTGCATCTAGAGCACAGGGTGTCTGTACTCCCCACTCCTCTCTCCAACACCCCATGTTGATCACCTGCTGGGGGCGGGGGGTCTCTGTTCCCACAATCCTTCTGCTTCCCTTGGTCCTAACGTTATCGCTCTAGAGTAATAAGTTAAAGCTTTCACTGATGGATGTCACTTTATTGTGGGTCACTATGTCCCAGGCACTCTGTTATTTTATATTATCCAGTTTAATCTTTATAAGAATCTTGTGAAGTAGATATTATCTTCTTTTCAAAATGAGGAACTGAAGCCAGGAGAGGTTTCGTAACTTGCCCAGGAGGAGGTGAGGCTGGGAGCCCAGCTCCCCTGCCTGTCACCACCCTCCCAGCCCCAGCTGTCAGTTCCCATGGCTCCTCGCAGCTCCTGGAGGTCCCCGACCTTCCAGGCTGTGGCTGACTCATCTCTGATCCCCAAGTCCAGCTTAGTGCCTGGCACAGAGAGGCTCAGGGAATGTCGGTTAAATCCCATGGAGCCCTCCCTCAGGAAGTTGAGGCCCGCCAGGTCTCCTACTTCCAGCATTGCCCGCCCAATCCGCTCTCCACCCTTTGACCAGAGGGACCTTCCTAAAAGTCCACATCACTCCCCTGCTCCCTCTTAGCGGTTCCCTCCTAGTGCAAGGAGCCCAGCTGGAGAGAGGGGAGACAGAGACAAACTCTCGCAGGCTCTCTGGTTCACGTTCCTCACCTACCCAGCTGACTCCCCTCGCCCTCCACTTGTCCTTCAAGCCACCCTCTGGTCTATTTCCTGTCACATGTCCTTTTCCATCCACCGCTCTCAGGCTTCCTCCTTCCTTCCCCTCCTTCCCAGGGATCTCCTTTTCCAAGCCTGTCTCTGTTCTCATGAGTCCTTTTCTCTCTTGCGTCCTCTGTAGCATCCCTGACAATCTAAACAGATACACTAGGACACCAGAAAGCGATGGTGCTATTTGTTGCATATTTTCGAGTAGCCTTCTCAGTTCTTAGATCTTAAACATTTAAATGTTTGAGTGAGAATTCTTAATTCCTAACATCTGGGCAGGATCTCAAAGTCCTTTCACATTCTTGATCTCATATGATCTTCACAAACCTGTGGGTTAGTTAAGACAGGGGTTATTATACTTGATTTATAAATGAGGAAACTGAGGCTTTAAAATTTGACATAAATTGCAGTGTCAGGATTCAAACCCCGGTCCTCTGACACCACATCTGGGCTCTTCTCACTCCATTCTGTGGCTCCAATCTAAAGACAAACGGAAATCTGTTCACTGACCCAGGAACCTCTGGATGGTTCCTTCCTCCGTGCCAGCTTGCCTACTAATTAGCTAAACCATGCCTTTCTCCCAGTTCCATTAATCAGCAGCCTCAAAGAGGGCAGCTGCCAGGAACACGTGGCTGTCCAGCACGACTTGTCTTACATCTGACTCTTATAACTCACCTTGTGTTTGTGGAAAGCATCTTGGTGGAAAAGCACAGCTGGCAGCCCCAGTGAGCAGTCTGCTTCTCTGGATTGTTCCTTGGGCTTCTCTGGCCTCTTGATTATGACTGCTTCTGATATTCTGGTGTACTGCCCAGTTCTCTTCACAACACGAAAAAACTCAGAGAAAAGGCAAACATCCAGTCAAACATTGACCAGAGACATGAAAGCAAGCGGGTGGCCTTCTTCCTTGTTTCAGAACACTGCTGGCCTTTCTTCTGTTCTTCCTCCCCTTCTCATGCTGCAGAAGCAGGCACCTCCCTCCAATTTCCCCTCTCCTGGGCTCTTGCCGTCTCTTTTCAGCCCCTGCTGTGGGCACTGGCCCCCTGAGCTGTCTGAGCTTTGCCCAGCAGCTGAGCCCTCTTTGGCTGGCTGTAAAAATTATTACAGGCAATAAATTAGGACTCTGCCTCAAGGCAATAAACTAGGAAGCTAGGACCACTGGCTTCAAGATTCTCGTTGGAAACAAGGTCACCCATTTGCTGAGAGAAGAGGCTGGAAACAAGTTTAAAACTGAACCTCGCCCATGTGATGGAGAACGTGATACGATTTCCCAGTTACCAGAATAGCCCATGGATTCTAAATGGCCACCCTGTTTCCAAATGATCTTCAGGGCCGAATGGGAACTAGACCCCAGGTGTCCTTGTCTGTCAATTCACTGCATCTGTCAGCTCCCAGGCCAGTTAATGGCACCGCCATACTCTTCTCACCCACAAGTCGTCTGTGGCTCCTCCCCTTCTCTCACTCCATTCATTATGCCTCCCAATGGTTCCTATCCATCCCTTCACTTTGGTGTCTGAGGGCTCAGGATGTGAGTGTGTCTTCTTCACTTCCTCTTTTCCTTTCTGCCAGCCTGGTGTTGGTGTTCAGAATGGTGCAGCCACAACATGGAAGGAGCCTGAGTCCCTGATCAACACTTGAGACTAGGAATAGCTGTTTGAGGCTTTACAAGATAAGGAATAAACTTCTACTCTGCTACAGCCATTATATACTTTGGAGTTTGTTACAGCAGCTAGTCCTTCTCATAGTCAACACACCTTCTTTTCCATTCACACTGCTACAGCCCCAGATCCAGCCCTCTTCACCTCCTGACTGGCCCTCGAATGGCCCTGCAGCCTCCAGCCTTCATGCCCCATGCATTCAGACATCTCCCGAAGGCACAGCTCAGATATGTTGTGCCCTTGCTGAACATCCTCCCATGGTCTACACTCCCGACCCTGGCGTTCCAAGCCTTCCAAGAAGTTGCTTCAACCCTCTTTTCTAGCCTAATCTCCACTCGTTTTCTACACACATCTACGGGGTTTTTAAAGTTGCTTATTCATCCCTAAACATAAGCTTTCATTGCTATTCTGGATCTTTAGAGAACGAGAACAAGAAACAGAGATCCACTCAAGTTGCCTAAGTTGAAGGGGTTTCTTATTACTCCCCTGCAAGGGCTGGGACCCAGCCTGGGAAGGTGGTGGAACCTGGAGCCACTCTTGAGGACGGTCCCTCCCCTCTCGTGGCCAAGGGGTCTCTCTGTCTCTTGTCTCTCTCCCTACGGGCATTTTTGCTTCAATCTGTTCTCACTGTGGCTCAGCCCCTTTGCTTCCTAATGGTTTCTGCTCTCTCATGGCTTCAACTCACCACTGTCCTGACTCTTAATTCATGGTACCCTTTCAACTTCTACCCACAACGATCACTGGCCCCTGTCCAAAGTTTCCTTCAGTTCTAATTGCTAAGAGAAAAGATTTGTCCCAGTTTATCTTTTCCCCCAGGTAGGTGACTGGCCAGTCTGTCTATGCCTTTCTATCTTTGGCTCAATCACATGCCCCTTGTACTAGTTTGCTAGGACTGCCATAACAAAATACCACACACTGGGTGACTTAAACAACAGACATATATTTTGTCACAGTTCTGGAAGCTGGAAGTCCAAGATCAAGGTGTCAGCAGGTTTGGTTTCCCCTTAAGCCTCTCTCCTTGCTTTGCAGAGGGCTGCCTTCTCACTGTGACCTCACGTGGCCTTTCCTCCGTGCATGTGCATCCCTGGTGTGTCTCTCTGTATGTCCTAATCGCCTTTTCTTATAAGAACACCAGTCAGGGCCGGCCCCGTGGCTTAGCAGTTAAGTGCGCGCACTCTGCTGTTGGCGGCCCGGGTTCAGATCCCGGGCGCGCACCGACGCACCGCTTCTCTGGCCATGCTGAGGCCGCGTCCCACATACAGCAACTAGAAGGATGTGCAGCTATGACATACAACTATCTACTGGGGCTTTGGGGAAAATAAATAAATTATAAAAAAAAAACAAAAAGAACACCAGTCAGATTGGACTAGGGCCCACACTAATGGCCTCATTGTAACTTAATTATCTCTTTAAAGGCCCCCATCTCCAAATACAGTCACATTCTAAGATAGTGGGGGTTGGGGCTTCAACATACGAATTTTGAGGGGACACAGTTCAGTCCATAACACCCCTGGTTTAATCAGCTGTGGTGAGCGGGAGAGGGTCATGGAGGCAGGGAACAGGCACCATAACTGACAAATTCAGGCCATTTGTGCTTGTCCGCCTGGACCCCCTTATTCCTGTCTACAACACCTCCTCCCTCTGCTGCTCATCTCCATCGTTTCTGTTCATTAAGTCCTACCTCAAGCATAATATCTGGCATGCAGCGTCTCCTGATCACCATGGTGTAGTCTGATCTCTCTTGGCGTGGTCTGCATCTCTTTTATGGCACATGTTTAGGCCTTCTTTATCTGTTCATTTAACAAATGATAGAGAGGCAGTCTGGTGCGCTGGTTCACAGTGTGGACTTTGGGGCCAGCTCCACCATTTACTAGCTGTGTAATTTTGGGCAAGTTACATTGTTAACCTCTCTGATCCTCAGTTTTAGCTGAGTTATACCTACTTCATGGACATGTGAGGTTGAAATGACCTAATGCACATCAACACTTAGGTACAGACATGCAGTAAGCACTCAATGAACGTTAGCTATTCTTGGGTGCCTGTCCTCTGCAGGGTACTGACTAGCATGTGGAGAACACAATCACATCACAGGTTAACTGTGTCGAGTATCAGCTCCCCTGCGAGGTAGGAGGGGCTTGGGAGCCACCACTAGATCTGATTCAGCACATCTTCTGGGGTACAGGGACACCCCACAGATGCTTGTTCTCAAAATTGAAAATCATGAGAGAAATGAAAAAGACAGAGAAAGGTGAAGATCGGGTACAACACAACTCTTACTGGATGCCTAGAGACACAGAAACACTGTAAACGTGATTTCTCTGACACCAGGCCCTCTCCTTCCTTGGAAGAAGCAGTTCTTGGTGCATCCATGCCACATCGTTCAGAAAAAAGAACTGCAAAGCTTTTCTCCTTCCAGGCTCATGGAGATGTTCTCTCTTCTGGGAATGCCCATCTGCCAGGTGCTTCCTGGCTCCAGAGCCCAGCTTCAAAGGGATATTTTCAATTCTTGGATTATCATGGCGGTTTCCCTCACAATTCTACAATTGCTCTCTTCACACGATTAAGGAAGAGTCATTGATGAATTTCCACTGACCGCCCTGGGGAGGATCGGGAAGGCAGCCACCTTAAAGAGGAAGAAAAGCTAAGACATTTGTTCTAAAATGCTGAAGTTTGGGAAAATTTCACCCACAGTAATAAGTGGTGACCATGCTCCAAACATGGCTTCTCTGAACCTGGAGGCCATCCTGTGTGACAGATTTCATCTTCCCTCTCTCGTGCTTCCTCATTTTAGTGTTGAATCTAAATGAAGAACTTAACATTTCTCCATAAAACATTTCAACATTTGATTGCTCTCTACCATTTTAATCTATGAAAGCCTTTTTGAATACTGCTTCTTCAATCCAATGTCCAGTAATTCCTTTTTGAAGCTTTGGGGTATTTGAATGCTTTTGCTGAGTTCATCGAGGTTATTGATAAAAATATTGAGTAGAACAGAGCCCTATAGCACTCCTCTAGAGACCTCTTTCCAGGAGCCATGTGCTGCAGTTGGCAGAGAGTGAGGAAAGAGATGACTGACGACACTAGAACCCAGGTGACTGATTTGAGCCCTGTATTTATCAGGGCTCAGAGTTCTGGTGACACAATGGAAGGAAATTCAGCAGAGCATCACAGAGGCCGTGCTTATTTCCTCAGTGTTAGGAGCTTATCACAGGCTCTATTTATTCTATAGACATGTGGCTTAATTATTAAATTTAGAAAGAACCCAGATCTCTGGAAGACCTAGTGCAATTTCTTCATTAAGTAATATCGATGGCTTTCTGGAGCAGTATGACCCTTGACTAGGGATAATTTTTCTCACTTTGAAAAAGAGTGAAACTAACCTATATTCCCATCCTGTCCCTTCTCTGTCACAGACAGGCCTGGCTTCCCCTGCTGGCAGAATAAAGACAAACTCCTTAGCTGGGTATTCAGTGACCTTCGTGACCAGAATGCAATTTACCTTCCCAGACTAGACTCAACTCTGGATAAGTCCATAGGAGATCTGGACTGACCGCTCAGCTGCCATCCACCTCCTCTACCCTCACCCAGCCATGCAAGTCACAAATATTCACGGGTGGTACCTGTGTGCCAAGAAGGATGCTAGTCCCTGAGGACACATGCTCTAGGGACACACCTGTGCCCTCTTCCCAGGCTGGCCAAGATCCTGGCTTGAGTACAGTGGCCTCTCTGGGGAGGGTTTTGGTGTTATGCGATTTATCACAGATGGAATGCAGAGAGTGAGGGCACAGAGTGCGGCAGCAGAAGGTGGGCCGGGACAGACTGCTGGTGTGGGGCTGCACAGGGACCACCAGGAGCAGCAGATCAGACCCTGCAAAGGCCATTTCCAGAGCAGCAGGAGGGGGACCCATTTAAACTGAAGGCCAACCATGCACAGGAAAAGGAGTCCTGGGCTGGGACACCCAGAGACCTGAGTCCTCACCCCAGCTCTGCCTTGAAGGGATCTGTGACTTTGAGCAAGTTCCCGCCTATCCTGTGCTGCAGTCGCCCCCCTGGAAAGTACAGATGTCAGAAGTGGTCTCTAAACACCCTTTCTCCCCACCTGACCCAGCTCAGATGTCACCTCTGTGAAGCCTTCCCTG